CGAGCTCAGCTATTCTGCCAGCTTGAATTGATTTGCTCGCTTGAGCATTAAGAAGTTGGATTTCAAGGGCCGATACCTTCGCTAACACATCTTTTTTAGCCACAACAAGGGCGTCCATCTTCGCTTTCCATTCATTGCACTCGGCTCGAATTTGATCGACCTCACCCCAGAGCTGCTCGATCGTATCTAGTTTCTGCTGCAGCTGAGACATTGAAGTATCAGCCCCCGAAGACGGGAGAGGTAGCTCGTATATTTTTAGAACAGAGGTTACCTGCTTTTCTAGCTCACTCTCGTATCCATGAGCTTTGGTCAGCTCCGATTGGAGATTTTTTAGTTCTTCCTCCTCTTTGCCAAGGAGAAGCCTAAGTGTTTTCTCCTCACTCAAAGCCCTACGCAATTCGGCTTCAATGGCGCAATTCAGTCTTGAAATTGCCAAAGGCCTACACAAAAGATAGGAAAGATTAATTAAACAAGAGAAGGAAAGTATAACAGTGGAGAAATATCAGGGCTGCTGAAGCTTACAATTAAACAAAGACGCTGAGCCTCCTCGAAGATTTAACTCGCATCCGCTGGGTCGGCCTCATCGACCCCAGAAAAGTAACCCTGGAAGAGGTCCTTTTCACTTGGGACTCCGCCAAGCTCGGACGTCTTCACGTTCTGAGAATCCTTGATGGTATCCTTGGAGAATGTCGGAAATGACAAAGGTTGACCTGCTGTCATAGCCTCGGGGAGATCTCCCAAAGTGTTCTGTTCAGGCAAAGGAGCTTCGAAGCTCGCTCCTTTTGAGATATTTCCAGAAGTTTGAGAAGCCGTTGCCGCATTAGATGGTGCAAGGCATTCATTCCTCTTTTCTTTTAATGTTCTTTCCCTGAGGACAGGGGTCCCGATCTTAGCAGGCTTGGCCGCCTCGGAGGATCCCCCGATTCTAGTCACCAGCGTCGAACCTTCCATCCGTTACCATCATCATTTATGCATTGGTAAGCCGAGTCAATGTCCACACTGATAATGACGTTACTTCTATGCCTCCTAGAAGGCTTTGTTTGGCTTTAGGAGTCCTCTCTCGATGAGGACCATCCTTTTGTTGTCCTCCTTAGTCTTGGGGGACAAAGAACCTGCTTCATCCCCGGAAGGGGGCGACCTCAACTCGAAGACTCACCAATACCTGCGATAAAGGAATCAGGTCACATGAACAAAAATATTCTTAATGAGGAAAGAAGTATTATGGCACGTACCGTGATGTTTCGCTTCCCACTTTCCCTTCAACAAGTCCCTCCTTTTGCGTTTGCCATATGGTGAAACAATAGCTAGTTTGCGAACCCAATCCTCGAGGTCAAGAATCGCATTAGGCATCCACGGAATCGCTGCGGAGAGGGAAAAGGAGTAACTACGCAAAGTTTCAAAAAATTTACAGAAAAGAGTTAAAAGAATTCCACTCATGTTCGAAATTCCATTTCTTGAGAAACGACAGGAATTCCTCGGGGGTAATATCGACGGTCCTCACCCGGATGTACCGGCTCATCCAACCTCGATCCTTGCCTTCGTCACTACTGGCGAAGAAAGACTTGGTTGATCGACGTTGGAGTTTGATTAAACCTCGGAAATATTGAGGTCGATATAACTGGATGAGGTGGCTAAGGGTGAACTCGAACCCGACCTTTTCACTGAAGAACCTGATCATTATTATGATCCGCCAAAAAGGCGGATGAATCTGGCCAAGGGTTACTTGATATCTTCGACAGAATTCGAGCACGAGCGGGTTGAGGGGACCCAACGAAAAGGGATATGTATACACACTCAGGAACCCCTCTCTATAAGTTGAGATGTCCTCACCTCGAGAAGGTATTTGTAGAACGACCTCCTCTCCCCACGGGCATTCCACCTCACGACATCAAAATGACTTTCCTCAATTGACCTTATGTACCCTCGATGCATGCTCTCGACGACCAGCAACGTTGGGAGGGTTCTCGATTATAAAGTCCTTTTTAAGGAAAATTTGCCCGGTACGATTTCATGAAGGCCGGCGGCGTAAGACGAGAAGTAGAAGTGAAGTTCTTTTCTTTCTTAGGAACAGACTGGGAAGTTTTCGCCATCAGTGCCTTAGAATGGTAAGAAGAAAATGTATGAATCAACGAGGTTTTGAGCTAATGCGACGGAGGAACTGGGAGAAATATAGAAGAAAATGGGTATGGAAATATGGAAAAATCCTTAATGAGAGGAGAAATCGAGTATATATAATGGAAGGCGGCGACAATTCTTTAGTAGTGATGGCCAACGAATTCTGGCATGCATTTGTTATTTTTGGGAAAAGAACTTACGCGACGCTTCGATCATTTCAACACTTGCGTCATATAAATAGTGTCTTCATAAATGACTTCGGGAATCCAAATCGTTTCGTATCATTTCATTCTAAGAAACGCGGGGGCTATCTGTATACGGTCAAAATCAAGGAGCCCGATTTCAGGTCTTAGATTGGACTGCGAGTCCGAGTCCGGGCAATCTGAAATCGGGATCGGGCCCGAAGTGAAGGAAACTACCTCGAGGAAGCTGATCGAAGGCCTGGCACGACCTACATAGAGGGCGGCACAATCTCAAAGTTAATCAAGTAAGAGTGGGAATTTCTCAAGGACACGTGGACCAGGGTATTAATTAAAAGATAAGATTTTTACGAAATGGTACAGATCCGTACTAGGCCATTATACACCTGTATTAATAGAATTCTTTACCTTTATGAGGAATGTACTATATTGGGGTTTTCCCCTCCTGTACAAAGGGGATCCCAATCGCTTCGTAAGGGATCAGATCATCCATTGCAATAGAACATTCTATTCTTCTCTTGTTTAACGTGCTCTCCAATTATGCTTCAACTTTATTGCCTTTACTTTATTGTTCATACTTTAGTGTTCTTAGCTAACCTCGAGGTCCCTGGATAATCAAGCTCGAGGCTCCTACTGTTCCAACAACATTGATTTGGTTCATTATTTCTTCTTACTTAAGCTCAATATTACTTGTATAATCACTAGTATTAGAATATATCACGTTTCTTTAAAACTACAAAATATCTTTAATTATTACACCTATTTTTCGAGATAAACAGACGGATTGTGCTGAGGCAATACAAACTATACAATGCGGTAATAGACTTGTTGATAATATTGTCGATATTTGCAGGTCGTTAATGCACCAAGGGAAGGTGACCCTCTCCTAGCACACATTTAGGGAAGGTAACACTGTGGCGCACACCATGGCCAAGCTGGCAAGGACTCCAGGAAGGAAGGAAAAAAAGTTTTTATATCCCCCACCTCCCCCGATGTTGTTGTTAATTCTGTGATGTATGATGAAGACAATCAACTCTGTTTTGTTGAATAATTATCTATGAATGCTTGCAATTGATTAGCAAGTCTAGGAAATTAATGTGTCCTTCATGGCACGCAACAACGCCATGTTGTAACAAACTCTACATAATTTTAATATATATGTTTCATGTTTGCTAAAAAAAAAAGATGATATTATAGACCATGTTCTGGCGTTAGAGGGGCAAATGCTGATATTGAAGAAGGAGAAAGTGAAAAATAAAAATAGTTAGTGACCTTTAATGTGTAAAAGTGTGAATAGTAAAAAAGAAAGAGTAATAAAAAAAGGTATATGTCATGCTCTAATATGATTAGCTTATGCAGTGGACATGTAACTTGCTCTCTACAAGATTGGTTCTGAATTGTCAAAGGGGTATTAATTACATTATGAACAAAAATAAAGGGTAAGAAATGCCCTAAATTTAATTATATAAATCATTTTTCCAAACAATTTTATTTAGCAGGTTATGTATTTTTCCCTAACATAATTATCATTTTTCCAAACAATTTTATTTAGCAGGTTATGTATTTTTCCCTAACATAATTGAACATCTTATACTGCAAAAGAATAGAGAAGAAAGTATTGGGGAAAGAATGAAAAGCAAAAAGATAACCCAAAAAATAAAGAGAAAAGGAAAAAGAAGGGGGGGGGGGGGGTTAAGAAAAGCAAAAGCTAAGGGTAGGGGTGTTCATGGTTCGGTTTGGATCGGTTTTTCCCTAAAAAGAAACCAAACCAAATAAGCCGGTTTTTCAAATATTAGAACCAAACCAAACCAAACCAATTAAGTCGGTTTTTTCTCGATTCAGTTTATGCCGGGTTTTTCGGTTTTTTCGATTATTTGTCGGTTTTTTCTTAAATATAAGACATATACTACCAAACACATACTCCGGCGACCACATTTCCCACGTAACACTATCAAATCAATTGCCCTTTGAGAAATCTATTATTTACCAAGATATATTGATGATAATTGAATCAAATAGTGATGAATAATTTAAGGACTCAATTAAAAATATATTATTTTTAACACGAAATGTATTCTTACACTTAACAAAAGAAAACTACCAATCAAACTAGAATGTAAAGGTAAAGAAATATACTAAAAGTGGCAAACTATTAACATTTACCATAAGAATTTTGAAACTTTGTATAATAATATACATATATATAGGTGTAATAATAAATTTGAAATAGCACTCCTATAGTCGATTTGGTTCAGTTTTTTCCGGTTATTTTCTGATTAAAACCAAGACCAAACCAAATTTGATCGGTTTTTAAAATTCAAAACCAAAACCAAACCAAACAAAAAAGTATCGGCTTTTTTGGTCGGTTTGGTTTGGTTTTCGGTTTGGTTCGATTTTCGGGTTTTTATGAACACCCCTAGCTAAGGGATTAAGAGCCCGTTTGGACATAGGAAAATTTTTCGTTTTTCCCAAGAAAAATTTTACTTTTTTCTGAAATCAGCATTTGTTCATAAAATTTTCAATTTTCACTTGAAGATACATTTTGAAAATTTTCGAAATTTTAAAAAATTTCAAAAAGTTATTTTTCAAAATTTTCATTCAACTAATCACAAACTTCAAAAACAACCCAAAGTTATATGGATATCCAAATACTAACTCTTTTTTTCAAATACCGTTGTTACTTGAAATACTTATTTTTTGAGTAACTCCAAACACCCACTAAGAATCGCAAACTCGCAAGGCTAAAGCGTATCGTCTCGGGTGTTAAACCCTAAACCTCTTCTGAGCAATTCTACCATCAGATGTTCAAGTTAAAAAGAGGCAATTCAATCCTTTCCAAAATCCCATTTGATATCATCAAATTAATTCAAATTCACATCTCCAATTTCCATACCAAGAACCCATTTTCCAGTCCAGCAATCCAATTCATTCTTGAAGAAGGCAAAGAAATCGAATCCCGACAACCCACAAACCAAGAACCCACGTCTAAGCATAATGAAGAAGCTAAGTTTTCCAGTTATGGGATTCAGATTTCTCATCCTTGGCCTGAATGGGTGGACTTGATGCAAAAGTTGTTGAAATGTGGATACTTTGAGGGAATCGGAAACCCTTTTGGAAATGCTGAAGAAATGGGTCCTAAAGATGCAAACCGGATTAGGACTGCTTGTTTGAATTTTGCTCGAGACCGGTTTGATCTTATAAAGTCTGAATTTATAGTCTGTTTTGCCTACATGAAATTACTGTTTTAGTATATTTATTGCTTGTCTTATATTAGGTTTAGAGCTTTTGTCATGGGTTTTTGTTGATTTGTTGAAACTATTGATTTCTGTATTTCAGTTCTAGCATTGCTGTTTTTGTATTTTAGCTTGATAAAATGGGCATCTGAGTTTGTATCCGATCTTTTGATGATATAGCCACTCTATAAAATGGAAGTCATGTCAGCAGCTTTAGGGAAGCCTATCTTAATTGTTGTATAATAAATGTAACTTATGTTATCTGATTCTGAGGGATTTCCCCCTTCAATGGGTTATTTACTTCATTATTTATGCTTGAAGATCGAGCCTGAGCCGCTATGGATGTAAACTTTTAGCTTATAGAATGATATGAATGTCAGCTATGTTTCTTCTGCACTCCCTCAGATTGGAAATGTAAAGAGTGTTCAATTTATGTTCCCTGTTTCTCCTTTACTCTGTCAACCCAAGTATTACAAATCTTTCTAACAATTCTATATATTGTCCCCTTCTGTTCTGTGTTAAATAGAACCTTATTTTTGTAACCTATTATTCGTTACTACTTATTATTAGAATGTACATAATAGAGCAATATGGTCAGTGAGACACTGAATTCATATAGCCGATCTCAACTTGCTTGAGATCGAGGCATAGTTGTTTTTGTTGTTGTTGTCAACTTAAGATGAACTTTTCCATAAATGCTACTGGTGCTTCAATATATGAAGAAATAGTTTGTAATCCAATCTTTTTGAATACCGTGAAGACATAAGTTTTAAGTATCAAGCAAGTAGAAGCCATGAAGGATTAGGATTTGGACGGAAACAACGGCGAGTTATCAATCTGCCAGCCTCACATTCTCATAACCATGCTTCAAGTATTCAGCTGCTTGTAATTGTATGACACTGTCAAATATTATACATGACACCTACTGCCTCAGAGCACCTTATAGAAAGCAGTGTTAGTTTATATGTAGAGGGTAGTATGTTAGCTTTGTACCCATTTTATAACCCAAAATACCCATGCCAGCACATTAAAACAACATAATGAGATGGACTGTTTCGCCTTTCACCAAAAGTTAAACCCAATATATATATTTAGTTATTTTGGGAGTTAGAATTTTATCAAGCTTGTTGCTGTTCTGACTAATACAGCTATGGTAACAGATATTTGTCGCAGCAAGATATTGGGGTGATAGCTGGCTGTGGCTGTCCAAGCATTGATAGAAAAGTTGTCAACTCTGGAAAGCGCCTTAGGGCATCGTTAGGCATCGAGGAAGGAAATGTATGTACTTAATTGCTGTTGTAATGCTTAACTTAGCTAAGACATCTCCATCAGAGTTTTTGCAGTCTGATGACTAGCATCCATCTGTCTATACTTCTAACAAGATATATTTAGTAGGTTTGCAGTTTCTGCATATTGAGGGGAAGTTGTGAGAGGGCATATGTCAGGGCACGTGAAGATCAAGGTGGTCGAACTGTTGATGTTATGCGTCTTTTATTGACTTATGGACTTGATCCAATTACTGGTGCTGTGGAGAAAAAAAGAGTTAAGGAATCAGCAAGAAGGCTGCTGAAAGAAATTATGAGTTTCAGTTCAGAGGAACTCAAGTGTGAAACACAGAAATCCACAAACCCTTGGAATCCATCTGTACAAGGTGATCACCAAGAAGAAGGTCAGATCATTGTCCAAACAAAACATGGTGATTGGATTTGTCCCAAGTAAGTCTAGTGAAACTTGAATGCATTTAAGATTTAAAACTTCCACGTCGTACCTATCCTAAACTTTTCATATATCATCTTGGTTTTGTTTCTAGATGCAACTTCTCGAATTTTTCCAGAAATGTGAAGTGCTTACGGTGTAATGGCTTATTTCGCGAAAGACTTAGCAAGCTAAGGGAGGAGCAGGATAATTTGCTATTAAAGAAAGGCGACTGGATTTGTTACAAGTAGGAATCTTCTTGGATAACTTTGTGCAGTAAATAGGTTCATATCCTAGTTTTGCTAATGTCATTTTGACTTCGAATCTCTTGCAGATGCCATTTTATGAACTTTGCAAAGAATACAAGGTGTTTGCAGTGCAAAGAAAAGCCACCTAAACGACAGCTTAATCCTGGAGAGTGGGAGTGTGACTCGTAAGCACTTAAAACAATTTTTTTTTTTGGTTAATAAGCTGTAGGCACTTTTATAGTCAATGATAAGTATCAGTATAATGTGTTTTTGTATCCTCCTTTTTGAGTTTAACTCTCTCTGCTCTGTCTCTATATCTTTTTGCTTTTTCCCCTTGGTTAGGTGCAACTACATCAATTTCAAAAGGAATATGGTGTGCTTGAAATGTGATCATAGACGGCCAAAAGCATCGACTAGTGGTGCAAGTGCTTCCTCTCAATCTGCAAAACAAAATAGAAGCATTAGTCGAACACGACCTTATTTTGGTGAACTGAATCAAGAAACAAATGAGGACGTAGATGAATGGGAATTTGTTGAAAGTGACGATGAAGATCATTTTAGCTCAATGTCAGGGAATCAGGAAGCAAGATTCATCGATTTTCCCGTTTTAGGGGGGAATAGTGAATTGTCTCGAGATGCAAAGAAGCAAGAAAAATGGAAGATGCAGATGGCTGCGAAGAGAAGAATCACTGCAAAAGAAACACTAAATGCTGATGAATTCAGGTCTTCTTTTACACCTGATAGAAAGTATTTTCAATATAGTGGCGATGGGGAAATGGACGAGTGGTTTGGGCATGAAGATACTCAAAATGCAGGACTGTAAGTGTGTTGGAGTACATTATGAAATCTGCGTGTATTATCCAATGTTTTAGAAATTGTGGTCTTAAACATGAGCGTATAAACGTGGTAAAAAAACAATGTCCGTGCTCGTCAAAAATAGTACAGAAAAATGTCAATCCCACGAGGAATATGATACTATTCTACTACTTATGCTTGCTTAATTACTATTTGTTAATTCAGAATGATTTCGAAAAGTTGTTTAAATTAATGACTAATAAAGACGTTATAAAAAAGACTTAAAGCAATTGTAGAAATTATTGATTGAAGTTCAAGAGAAGAAGCAAGTTGGCTCGAGTTGCCCTATGGTTATGCTATGATTCCTGTTTCCCTTGACCTAGTCGATATCAATTTTTTATTTATTTAATTTTTATTCCCTCCCTCCAAAAGCTCCCCACCTTGTTCTCTTGGAGTGATTCAAGTCAAGGGTGCTCACCACTTGAGCAACCCACTCTTGTCTAGTCGATATCATTAGAAGCGAAGCCCGGAATTTAAAAATTGAATTACATAAATGTCCTTCTAAATCACTTAAATATCCTATATTATTACCTATTTAATTTAACAATGATATACAACAACATACCCATTAATATATTTAATTTAACAATAATATATTAACATAAAATAATAAAAAATATCGAAAAAGAAAATTGAAGATTTGAGAGGTCGTGTTCGTTTTGTTTTGTGACCAACCTTACTTCTGAATTCGTTTCAACCGTTGGTTACCTTTTTCTGTTTTGTTGTTAAATCGTCCATCTTAATCACCACAAAAATACAAAAACTAGGACATATAACTCTATGCACCTACTCAGAATGCAACAACCTTTATTATATGGAGAAAAGTAGGATTTCAGTGTAAGCTTATAACAAAACCTATGATGAGAGGTAATCTATCTCCTCCTCTCCTATAGAAAAATATATCATCATAGAACATCAAAAGTAAACTATCTATAAATGTTCCTATCCAAAAGGAAGGAATTTTTAGCACCGCTCATTTTCAAAGAAGTAAGGTTCATTCTATCGGGAAGCGAGGCTCCCATTGATGATAAGATTCGGGAAGCGAGGCTCAGATAGTTCCGACATGTACAGAGGAGAAGCCCAAATGCTCTAATAAGGAGGTGTGAGCGACTGGTTGTGGAGGGTACGAGAAGAGGTAGATGGCGGCCTAAGAAGTATTGGGGAGAAGTGATCAGGCAGGATATGGCGAGGCTCCAGATTTTTGAGGACATGACACTTGATAGGGAGTTGTAGAGGTCGAGTATTACGGTGGTAGGCTAGGAGGTAGTTGCGTCTTGCGTTACCTTGTACTATTGTGAGCCTAGTCTGGTAGGGGTTTTGACAGAAATAGCTAGGGGCATTGCCCTGTCGCACTATTTTCTCTTTTCGGTGCAGGACCTATCTATTAGCCATCATTTTTGTTTTGCATTTTTCCTTCTGCATTTTATGTTCCTATTTTTTCTATGATTTCTGTGGTGAAACTAATATTCTCTCATTTTTGTTTTTCTTATCGTGAGCCGAGGGTCTTCCGGAAACAACCTCTCTACTCCTTCGGGGTAGGGGTAAGGTCTGCGTACATACTACCCTCCCCAAACCCCACTTGTGGGATTTTACTGGGTTGTTGTTGTTGTTAAGGTTCATTCTATCCATGTTTAGATTGCTCTTAGCTTCTCTACGAAGCTGGTGGCTATTTGTAATCCAAGTCAGATTATTGTATTGTAGACCCCGTAGCGATTCAGTCGGTCATTTGTATGTATTTGAGTCCCATTCTCCTATTTAATGCTTTCTGTACGTGTGTTTATTGTTTTGTAACAAGGAGGTTGGGTTGTTTGGCTTTGGGATGTTTTGAGTATGCATTTGGACACATAGTCTTATTTTAAAAGCTTAAATTGCTAGAGCATACCAAGATTTATCTTTTGTGTAAATGATCTCAGATCGAAGAATTGGTGATTTCAATAGCTTTGTATGGTGATTTTGTATTTGGCGTATGTTCGGATTCAGATTTGGAAGTCCCTAGAAGATTTTGAGCCTATTTGCCAAAAGTTGGCGATTGGAAGAATTGGAGAGTTCTTAAGTTTGACTGATAGTTGACTTTAATGTTATCATACTCCCAATGTTGTTTCGAAACTTGGAATGGTTTGTTTCATTGTTTGAAGCTTGTGTGCAAAGTTTGGATGTAATCCAGATTGATTAGGCTTGAATCGAATGCTTGGTTGGAAGTTTGGAAATTCTTGAACTTGAGAGAAGTTCAACTTGTGATTTGATCTTTGATTCTGTCACGATCCAAGATCACGTGATCGAGACCCGACATACTATCCAACTCGGGTGGACCAACCCGTACAAAAAATACCCATCTATATGCCTAATAGATACATGCGGAAGTCATTTAAAAAATACAATCATTTTAAATGATTAAGACCATATATGAAACATGATCTTTAAATCCACCATTTTCAATAATTAAAAATCATAAAGATATCAATATTTCTTTCATGCATGCAATATGAATAACTCTCCGTTACAACCCAAAATAATGATAACAGTCTATAGAATTTCTATGACACAAGGATAGAATAAATACTAGGGACAAACCCCAACCAAAGAAAGTAAGATCGACATGACAACTACCACGAAATAGAAGTGGTGCCTCACCATATACTGCAAAAAGAGAGTCATCCTAGCCTACCGCTCATCAAGTACCACACCTCATCCAGAAAATATGTAAAGTAAGTGGGGCCTTGGAGAGGTCCCCTGAGGGTTGAGTACACCACGACGATACTAAATAAATATCATAGACTCTCTCTAACTCGAGTTCTTAGGACAAGGCTTTACAAAACATATGCAACCAATAATTTTATATGAAGTGATAAACCATTACACAAGTTCATACTCTTTATCATTTTAAATTAAAAGACTAGTAAAATATAAATCACGATACAATCTTTTAAAATATTTATATCAACCCATAATTCTAATAAAATCAAGTAAAACCATTTCAACTTCATTAAGTAATTGAAATCACTTTCGGTTCCTTAGGCCTATACATAACAAAATCTTCTTTTACCTTTCATCGGGAGAAGTATACTATCATCGACACAAGAAGGTCAACTAGATTATGTACCTAGTGGCGAGTATCATATACCCTACTTGCTCAGGTCGTCTTATCACAATGCCATACGAAGCGACTCCGTCATCTTATTAATAGCACAAAATAGCACCTCTCAGGGAGAATACTTTGTCATAGTCTATACCACAAAATGTCCATCTAAGCCTACACCAACACGAGTAGTTTCATGACGACAAATATGATATATCCAAAGTCAATCTCGATGAACAGAAGTAACTTCCAAAATATTTGATACTCCAAAAATAGATTCATAATCAAATAGACTCAAAGTATCTATTTTATCAAGTCTTGACGTTTATAGTCAATCCAAATCGTTTGAATAAAATCAAATAAGACCCTTCCTCATTTCATATTAAGCAATTAACAAAATGAGATTTCATTCCTTAAAGATTTAACAAGTGCTACGTCGAAATATAAAGATTTTAGAAATATTACATTTCTCATTTTTATAAAAATAAAGGTAAAAATAGAACTCAAATGTTTAATCCCTTTATCATCAACATAAGTTAATACAACTTAAAATATTTGCCTCAAGTGTCAATTTCTAACAAGTTTAAAACAAGATTTTACAAAATAACATGACACCATTTCATATGCAACACTACTCAAAGACCATGGTAACATCTTTTCCTGCTTGTCCCAATGAGTGCGGATGCACATTTATGAACAATCTCATATATCAAGTCAAAACATTTGTATAGAGAAAATTTCTCAAGTAGAGAAAGTTTTAATCAACTTACTTCAAGTCGAAGCTTCAAACTAGTGCTATAATGCTCCAATTCGTTAATGCTCAAACGCCATCAACAAGTTGATATCCACATTTATGAGTTCACATATATCATTAATGCATCACAACAATACCAATTAAACTATGTGCCTAGAACTTGGTTCCAACTTCACAAATTTCACAAAAATCCTTGTTTCACCATTTGAAGGTCAATCCTTGAATGTTAACTCCAATTCATCCATTAAATGCGTTATGAAATCCAGTTGTTTCATAAGAAACTCAAACGATGTCGTTCAAATAAATCCAATACTATCTATATTCCCTACCAACAAGCTTTTCAATGTTAAGGTTAGGGTTTGTCATTTCAACTCTTTCAACTACTTTTGCTACTCATAAATAATATTAAAAAACTAATTTATACTCCATAAACAAGTTTCAAGTAGCAGAAATTACCTTTAGAAGGAAATCCTAGAAAATCCCTCTCTTGGAGTTCTTGGAGGATTTGGAAGAATCAAACAAATTCCATACTTGAATCTTGTTAGTAGTGGTGTTGATAGAAGTCATAACCGAATCCCCTAACCAATTGTGATGGTGCCTAACACACTTGCTAGGCAAGCTGGACATAACCATAATGAACCATAATAGCAGAAATGACAAAAATAATATAAGTCCAAACCCTTAATGTAGCATAATAGTACCAATAAATGATAAATTCCGCAGAACTGGTAAATATAGAGTCACCAGCTCTAAAACGGAAGTACAAGTCTGAATTGCCAAATATAATACTGTCTTAAATAAAGACAACAATATATAAGAAAAGAGACGCCAAGAATGCGAACAAGAATACAGCTCTACCTCGTCTCTCGGTGATCAACTCTGATGTATGCCTCAACTACTGATGCCTGTGTCCGACACCTGGATCTGTACAATTAAGTGCGGAGTGTAGCATGAGTACAATCGACTCTATGTACTCAACAAGTATCATAACAAACCTTGGAGAGGTAAAAGAAGCAAGAATTATAAATGATACTTGTAATAACTTGTACAATTTATAAATTCAACAAGTACATGACAATAATGTAATCAAGTCATAAAGCACAAAAGGATCCATCTCTCTTTGTGTGCACAATTACTCAAGTACTCTGCTCCATAAAAAAGCTAGAATATAAAGAGAATATGCAAGTAAATTAGGTAAATAATCACGGAAATTTCAAGTAAAAATGAAATTTAATAAGCAACAACACTTTCCATATTTTCCTCAACATTTTCATATCAGTACCAAACCATTGATCAATTTTCCCCAAATCCGCGTC